GGGCCGGAGGCGGGCGCGCCCGAGGAGGAGGAGGACGAGCTCCTGAGGGTGACCGACCTGGTGGACTACGTCTGCAACAGCGAGCAGTTGTGAGGCCGCCGGGGGAGCTCCGGAGGGGGACCGGCCTGGGGGACTGCGTCTGCGACAGCGAGCGCTGCGAGGGCGCCGGGGGAGAGGAGGAGGAGGAGCTTCTGAGGGCGCCGGGGCTGCGTCTGCGACCGCAGGCGGCTGTGCGGCCGCTCCCTCCGTTTCTCTGCTAATTTATTCCACGGTAGCTCTCTCCAGCGGGCCAGTTATTAAAGTGGTTTTATTTTTCCTAAACTCCACTACAGAATGACTTTTTAGAAGAAAAATTTCAACAAACCTTGAAGTCTTTCTGTGAAGTGACCAGTTTTGAACTTTGAAGATAAATAATTGCTGTAAATTCCTTTTAATTTTCTTTTTCCAAGTTCATGGTCCTTGGTAATTTCATTCATGGAAAAAAAATTCTTATTATAATAACAACAAAGATTTGTATATTTTTGACTTTATATTTCCTGAGCTCTCCTGACTTTGTGAAAAAGGGTGGATAAGAATGCATTCCGAATCTGCGAGGGCCCAAAACAGAATTAGGGGTGGGAGAAAGCACTTGTGCTTTAGCTTTTTCATATTAAATATATATTATATTTAAACATTCATGGCATAGATGATGATTAACAGACTGTTTAAAAGTTCGAGTCTGTATTGTTACAGCTTGAGAATTGTAGATAACATCGTACGTAAATCATTTAGTAACAGCATTCATGAATCAACTTGTTTACCATTGGAGATAACCACACTTAATAAAGAAGAGACCGAGAAAGTACCATCGTAAAAAAACTCTTAAGTTTGTTATAGTGGAGTTTCTTGTTTTAAAAAAAATCATCTGAAAAGCATTTGTACAGTAAAATGTAAAATGAAGCTTTGACAACCAGATTGTGCTAGCAACAAATTTAAAACAGCTTTATGCAGTGATGATGAGGTGGCCTCCAATATACTATCATGGAGAGTTATTAGCGAAATGCGTGTGCTCTTCTTTAAAGCCCAGGTGGATTGTAAACTTTGCAGACAGTGTAACTCTTGTGTTCTGGCCACTTATTTAAATATATGAAATATAATTTTGAAACAAATACATCTTATACATAACATGAAGAGATGCTAAGCTGACAGTGGTATTTTAGCACATTTGAAGAAGGGGAAAGGATTTTCAGGTGAATTTTAACTGGTCTATTCTTGCCCTTAGTATCTACTTCAAATTGAAGTCTACCAACAAAGCAGTTCCTTTGGGAGATTTTTAGTTTGAGTTTTAGCATGTATGTGTGTGTATATGTGTGTGTGTGTATGTATGTGTGTTGGAATTTCTTATCTGCCTGGATATATTAGCAGGGTTTGAATGTAGTTTTGGCCTTTGGCCATTAGACTTATATTAAAATTCATTAATAGTCACACGACCAACATAGAGTTGATTGAGAATCACCAATGTACTTAATAGGCATGACATCCATTTTAAACATCTCAACACTTCAAAAAAAAAAAAAGCGCTTTGTTTCAAGAAAAGGGGTTTCTAACTAAATATCTAACATGTAATTGACACTAAAATATGAGCTTTGTCTTAGTTTCTGTTACAGCTGTAAAATTTCAGGCAGAGCCATAAATAACATTGTACAAAGTGTAGCACTTCTGATTAAACCTTGCCTGTCAAATTCTGAAACCTTCAGCCATTACTTCTGTGAATACTTTTGCCCTGGGATTTGGGTTTTTCTGTTTCAGTGTTGTGTCTGTTGCCGGCAATGGACACACCATATCTGCTGCTGGCCCAAGGAACTTCATTAATTTTTCTTTCCAAATTAAGCATTATATGTGCTAGTCAGTGTATAGTAAAGCACTTCCTCCTTTTTATTATTAAAAAGCTGGCATTAGACTTGCATTATAAATACCTCTCTAGAAACTTTATACTTCTTTTCCTCCTTTAACAGGTGTTGCCCTTAAATCTTTTGACCTTGAAAGTTTATAGCTGTTGTTTTTCAGTTATTGGTTCTTTTGTTTCACTTAGTTCTGTAGTATCTGCCCATTAATATTTTTGCTTTGATTCTAGCAATGTATATGTATCTGTATAAAAAATAAAATAATGAAAGCAGCCTAAAAATAGGGTGCACAAATAGCATGTGATTCCAAGTAAGTTGTGATTTTTATTTTGAGACAATGTTCCACTGGAAGGGAGGGAAGGGCTCACACTCACAGACAGTAGAGCAGAGGACTATGTAAGGAGCCACATTCATTTACAAGCCTCCTTTCTAGCTAGGTTTGTTTCATTTATTTGAAAGTGTGTTAACAATGTTAGCCCTTTTTTAACTAAAACAGGCAGGCAGTAGGAGGAGTCTTACTACTAGTGCAAGGTAAGTGGTTAGAATGTGCCGGGGCCTATCCTGCTCCGTCTCCCTCTACTGTTTTAGTCCTGCAGCTGGTAAAGCCACTACTGTGTGGAAACTCCCATGTACCCTGTTTCTACCTCTGGATACACCAGCTCCTGCTTCCACCTATTCTGTTCAGTTAAGCAAGTGATAAGAAGTATTAAATGGATAGATTATTTCTTTTACAGGATGCCTAATGTGAAATAAGGAGTTCTTCTTACTCTTCCGCTACAGAGCAAAAGGTAATTTTTATCATTGTGAAGACTGAGTACTCCATTTAGCAAATATCCCATTGATATGGGTTATGATACCACTTTTGCTGCCTGTTACCTACCAAACTTGAATTGTTGTGAAGTTGATAGTGAGTGTATTCCTTCTAACCTTACATTCTGATTAAACCAGTTAACTGTTTCATCTACACAGAGTGTAATCCAAGCAGCTGATACTCACAGATTCTCTTTATGCAGATAGATTTGTTATGGGTGATTAAATGCTGAACAGGTCAAAAGCAGCTCTACCACTTGGCGTTTAGATTCAGTCCCTGAAAGAGTGTGTTCACTGAAATATTAACTCTGAACATACTTTGAAGACTTTTTTAAAAATTAGGAAAAAGTGAACTTTTTATATCCAAAGACATAATTCAGTTTTAGGAACTGGACAGTGCATAGGAAAGCAGCTGTTCATCTAGAGTTTAGAATATATTGAGTTTTTGTTGTTGCAGTACTAGCCATGCATTTAGGTTCACAATAGCTGCTATAATATAATAGAGCCCCTTTATACTTTAATTCCCCTTTTTTGAGATACAGTTTGGATTCCGGATATAAAACTCCACAGTGTATAGCAAATGTAGAGAAGATGTAGTTTAGTACTCAGGCTATTTAGTTGCAATTTCTGTAAAGGTTTGAAAACAAGCCAAATTGTCACAAAGCAGAGGCTTTGAATTAAATTATGTGAAAAAACTTTGACTGAAAATACACATTTTGGTTTTGTAAACTCGTGCTGATGAAATAGTGTTCAGTGTAAAACATTTTCCAATGTTGGTTCCTTATTAGAGAATGATGGCAGAGATATTTTCAAGACTCTACCTGATGTATTGAGGTTGGGTTTCCTTGACACATCTTTTCCCATTTGGTCAAGGTTGCAAATTCAGAGAATAAAGAGGAGTGTCATTTAGAATAAATTCATGTCTACTGATAATCTTTTTATAAGTGTAACCTGCCAAAGAACCAAGGACTTCAAATGCTGAGGAAGTTGTTAAAAAAAGGTTTTTAAACAAACTAATTTTAAAAGGATATTATAAACTCCGGTTTTCATTTTTCAGTTGATAGGATCCATCCCATAATAGGAGTTTGAGCAAAGTACATATATTAAAGAAAAATGTAGAAGTTTACTTGTTATTTAGAGATAAAATGGGGAAAAGTTAGCTATTTTTAAGCAGGATGGATGGAATTTCCTTTGTCACAAGGAATGCCTTTTTAGCCCACGTTTGTGGGGCTGAGATGTTTGCCATTTGCTAGTTTGTACTACCATGCAACTGAAAGGAACCTAACGGACCTCCAAGTTTAATACACAGAAAAGTTGTGAACTCTGTCTTTTACCAACACAAGGAACAGGTCCATGATTCATGGCATTCGTCACAGCTATAGATTTTTTTTTAATGGAATAAACATTACATATATATATATATAAATATGCATACATACTTTAGATGTTAGGATTAAAGTGAACCCTTTGAAATCACTGACATAAAAATCAGATAAGTAATTGTAACTCATATGAAATTATGAACATTATTTAATAATGGAAAGTCTAGAGAAAAATAGTGAAGGTCCTTTTCTTGGTTTGACATTCTAAAAGTATGTTCCTGGTTCTCCCCAGAATCGAGAATGCCCAAACTGCAAATCTGCTGCAATCTACCTGGTTCTCTGTATACTATCTGTTACTAAACTTGCGTAGAATAAAATTCATTCCTATTTCATCCAGCATTCCCAGGACGTACCTATAAACCTGCCTTGGAAGTGGTGAGCTAACTGCTGATTTTCTTCCTTGTTTTTATACCAATCCTGCGCGACGAAGCCTTTTGCTATCAGTGTATTTAATGGGTTAATTGTGTTATGTGTACAGTTAGTTTGTTTTCAAAATATTTCACTCCAACTTAAATTATCATCTGACAGTTTTTGAGCGAGTGCCAAGAATTGCTCAGTAACTAACGTAGGTTGAAGATAGGGTTATTGCCCAGCCAGCAAGTAGTCGTTAAAAGCCAAGGTGCAGTGTGCTTGGTATATAACCACTTTAGATTTACACAAAACACTTTTTATTCATATAAATCCTCTCAGAAATTTATTAGGATTCCATTAGTGGATTTTTCTCCTCATTTTGGTTATGTAAGCTCAGTTTGTTTTTGTTTGTTTTTTGCATTTTATATTTATACCATCTTGCTCTGGGAAATGCTGCAAACCCAATTCTGGCACATTGTAGCGATTTCAGTTAGTGAAGATGCTACTTTTATTTTAATAACTTTAAGATGTCTATCCTATGCATAAGTTATATGAGAGGGCATAACGAATTATTAGATGTGTAGAGATTTCTTAATTAAGCTCTTTAGACATTTTGAATAAGAAAAAACATTTTTAAAGGAACTACGTTCGTGTTTTTTGCCAAACCGGTACAAGCTAGAAAATGCACTAAGGACTGAGTGACCCGCCTTGTTCATTTTGCCACTGGATAATGTAAGTTAAGAATGGAATTGTTAACCCTAACTATATGTTTTCTTAACTTTCATCAGTTTCTAAAGAAATCTAATTTAAGTGTTTGGGGTTTTGTTTGACCTGTATTTATTGAGTTCTGGTCATAAACCAGGAGCTGCATGTCATGCTTATGGATAGCCAGAACACAGTTACTGGGAAACCTAACGGCGCAAGACCTTCTGAATCGTTTAACTTATTTTGTATGTTGCAAAAAAAAAAAAAAAAAAAGT